GTGGGTCAGTTTTATTACAGGGTGTGGAGCTAGGCGTCATTGATGTTCCCCTGCATAGAATTAGTTTGAAGTCAGATTTAGTTACTGGACCTGTTATCGTAGGTGTTCGACCTACTCTTCCCGTTCCAGGCATTTCTTTGTTGTTAGGCAACGATTTAGCTGGTGGGAAGGTTGTACCTGATCCTATAGTTTGTGAGAAAATCACTTCCAATGTCATGTGCGATGATGAAGATGATGACATTTATCCAGCCTGTGCTGTTACTAGAGCGATGGCCAGAAGACGAGAAATGGAGGCAGACCATACTCAAGCCTTTGACGAGACGAATTCCTCTGTAGATATTGATTTGAATGACACTTTCTTATCTGACCTTGATGGCACTCAAACAAGCATGGAACCACACAATATCAAGAAGCAAGAGAAGAAAGAACTTTTACCAAAATTTGGTGGTGAGGATGATGAGTTGCATCCACTAGTTAGCCAAGGCAAGGACATCCTCAGCCGAGAACGTTTACTCTCTGAACAACATATAGACCCAGATATCATTCAACTTAGTATGAGGGCACTTCCACCAGAAGAGGCTACTAAAGTTGGAGAATGCTTCTATATGAAAGATGGCATCCTTATGCGAAAATGGCGACCACCTGACGCTTCTCCAGATGAAGTGTGGCGTGTTGTTCACCAGATAGTGGTCCCAGCTGCTTATCGTCGAGATGTCATGAGTTTAGCTCACGATACACCTATGGCTGGTCATTTAGGTATCAATAAGACTTATAATAGGATTTTGAGTCATTTTTATTGGCCTAAGCTAAGAAAGGATGTTTCGAAGTTTTGCAAGTCATGCCATGTCTGTCAGATGGTAGGTAAACCAAATCAGAAGATACCATCTGCTCCTCTCCAACCCATTCCAGCTTTTGAAGAACCGTTTAGTCGAGTGTTGGTGGATTGTGTAGGACCTTTGCCTAGGACTAGATCTGGAAACCAGTATTTACTTACCATTATGTGTACATCCACTCGATTTCCTGAAGCCATACCTCTAAGGAATATAAAGGCAAAGAGCATAGTTAAGGCCCTAACCAAGTTTTTCAGTTTTGTAGGAGCACCCAAGGCAATTCAGTCGGATCAAGGCTCAAATTTTATGTCGGGGTTGTTCCAGCAAGTCATGCATGAGTTGGGTATAAGGCAATATAGATCAACTGCTTATCATCCTGAGTCTCAGGGAGCACTAGAACGTTTTCATCAAACCTTAAAAACAATGCTGAAGACCTATTGTTACCAGTATGAAAAAGACTGGGATGAAGGGGTTCATCTTGTGCTATTTGCTGCACGAGAAGCAGTCCAGGAGTCTCTTGGGTTCAGTCCTTTTGAATTGGTGTTCGGTCATACAGTTAGAGGTCCTTTGAAATTGTTGAAGGAAAAGTGGCTGACTGAGACAAGTGATCTTAATCTTTTAGATTATGTGTCTGATTTCAAAGAAAAACTTTACAATGCTTGTAAATTAGCACAAGAGAATTTGAAGAGTTCTCAGATGAAAATGAAAATGTGGTATGACAAAGATGCCAGAAATAGGGTGTTTAAGCCAGGTGATAAGGTTCTTGTATTTTTACCTATTCCTGGTCATCCTTTACAGGCCAGATTTTATGGCCCTTATGAAATTGAAAGCAAGATCAGTCATGTAAACTATGTAGTTAAGACACCAGGTCGACGTAAAGAGAAACGGGTTTGTCACATTAACATGTTAAAAGAGTATTTTGAAAGGTGTGACCGAAATTCTGTAAAACCAGTTTCCACTTTAGCCAATGCTAAGACTGTTCAAAATTGTATTGAAAGTGATACGAGTGTAGAAATGAATGAGAAAGATTGTAATCAGAGTGTTCGTTTGAAAAACTCAGAAATTTTGGCTGATTTTGATGCCAAACTTGGACATTTGAACATTCACCAAAAAGAACAAGTTAAAAACTTGACGAGTGAGTATCATCAAATCTTTTCGGATGTTCCAAAGAAAACTAATGCAGCTTGTCATGATGTCATAGTGGGTGACGCTCTGCCTATCAAACAACATCCGTACCGTCTTAATCCAATAAAATTGCAGTACCTAAGAAGGGAAGTGCAGTACATGTTGGACAATGACATTATCGAACCTAGTAAAAGTAACTGGAGCTCACCATGTATTCTTGTACCAAAACAGGACAGTACCTACCGATTATGTACAGACTTTAGAAAAGTGAATTCTGTTACCAAAACTGATTCATATCCAATACCTAGAATCGATGACTGTATTGACAACATTGGAAACGCGAAATTTGTCAGTAAATTTGACCTGTTGAAAGGCTACTGGTAAGTACCGTTAACAGAAAGAGCAAAAGAAATATCTGCTTTTGCTACACCAGATGGACTTTACCAGTATAAAGTAATGCCTTTTGGCATGAAAACCGCACCAGCTACATTCCAAAGGATGATTCACTCCCTTCTTCAAGACCTTGAGGGATGCGAGGCCTACATTGATGATGTCGTCATATACAGCAACACATGGGACGAACATCTCCGAATCATGCGTGCTTTATTTGACATTTTAGCTAAAGCAAATTTAACTGTGAACCTTGAGAAGAGCGAATTTTGTCATGCTTATGTAGAGTATTTAGGTCATAAAGTAGGTCAAGGTTATGTTACACCCATTATGGCTAAAGTGGAAGCTATTGCAAAGTTCCCGATTCCTACAAACAAGAAAGAATTAATGAGGTTTTTGGGCATGGCTGGGTTTTACAGAAAATTTTGTCCAAATTTTTCCTCAGTAGTTAGTCCACTTACAAATCTTTTACAAAAAAGGGTTAACTTTGAATGGACAAAGGACTGTGAAAAATCCTTTCATAAAATCAAATCTGTCCTTATGAGCAATCCAGTTCTGTCAACTCCAGATTTTTCTAAGCAATTTAAGCTTACTGTTGACGCTAGTGATGTTGGAATCGGGGCAGCTTTGTTTCAAGAACATAGTGATAAGGTAGATAGAGTTGTTTCTTATTTTTCAAAGAAACTTACAAAATGTCAACGAAATTATTCTACTATTGAAAAAGAATGCCTTGCTTTGTTGTTTAGCTTTACAGCATTTTGATGTTTATTTGAATGTTACTTTGCATCCAATTCTTGTATATCTTGTATTTGCATAAGTTGTCAAACAAGAATCAAAGACTGACTAGATGGAGTTTGTTGTTACAAGAATACAACATAACAATTAAGCATATCAAAGGCAAAGATAATGTTATTGCAGATGCATTGTCCAGAGTATCATGAACAAATTAGATTTTGTATTAATGTACATGTTTTACAATATAAGTTTTCATTGACATTCAAACTTTTTAAGGGGGGAGGTGTTGTGAGATGTGTATTGTTTCATTATGTATATAATTAGTAACATTAAGTTTCTTGAACATTCCAGAGTGGTCAACATGTTTGGTCATTTTATCTAGAACATTCTTAAATTTTGTATATGTCCAGATTGTTCCAGTAATATCATGTTTTAACAATTTCTAGAATATTCTAGATTTATAATACTGTATAAATACCCTGTCAATTCAATGCATATACAATAATTGTGGATACTCTGTCATACAAGCACTATTGAGATATAACTGGGATATATATTTTCACTGGGACATTGTGTGCAGCAACGGACACTCTGATGTATGTATTTTTAGATTCTTGCTAAGTTTGTACTTTATGTTTCATATACTTATTATATATTACTGTAAATAAATTATTGTTAAGTTTAAATTGTGTTATTGATCTTTGCTGGCATTTAGGGTAATTCTGACCCATAACATGTATAAATAATGGACTTGCAGTTAGTATGAAAAACGTCAGTCAGTAATTGTCTCCATGATAAATTGTAATTGCTGACAAGGTCATTGTGTCGATCATAAACTTACTAAATACATATATTCGTATGTCCTACCCTTCGTATTTTGTATATGCACATTACTAGTACATATACCATGAATGTATTTTTAATGCCATCACTCTGATGTTAATAATTATTATTTTACTTTTTAAGTACAGTTGTCAATTTCACTAGCTGCAGAACTATATATGTATGGTTTCAATCTTAAATCGTGTGCTCGGTTGTGGAGAATTTCTGTAATTTCCAGTACTGGTAAATCAATTATATTTTACTCTCTATATCTAGACACATTTTTAACCAACTTGTATAATCTATTAAATTCATCTCTCAACCCTTAATAGTCGTCTATATAGACCGCTTTGAATTTTCAACCATCCGACAAAAAATCAAGTTTACTTGTCTGTAGAGACAAGTATGACGGGTTTGAATGTAATGAAATATTCAGATTGGTTAAAGAATTTGTCTTGAATTATAGAATATAAGGTGTGATGAGTGATTGACCAAATCTGGAGAGTGTTGAAATTGTCTCGAAGCATGCGCAGATAATTACATGAAACACATTATTTTCATTACGGGATCTGCCATGCAATGGGAAATAATGTTTTAAATATCAATTTCTTCTCCATCATGTATAATCATCCTCAAACGCGCAGGTTCAGGACTGTTTGCTTGAATCATATTGCACACAGGCAGGGACCATATACGAAATATATTTTTACATAAATTTCAAAACTTTTATCCTACACTTTAATGTATAAATAGAATACCCAAATTGGTCACTACCTGGGTGCAATATGATTCAAGAAAACAGTTTTGAACCTGAAAGACTTACAGATGAAGGACTAAATGTCCCATTTTAATATCTTTTTTTCCACTTTCACTCAAAATACAAAAAATCCGTAATTTTACGAAAGCAAACTAATGTCAAATCCAATTATCAAAATTAAGAAATCTTTAAAGTTATTAAACATGCATATACATGACTTTAAGGTAAATACATGTATCATGATTTTGAAACAGTTTAAAGGATGACAATATACAGTGTACAAACACCAAAACTTCGAAACACGAAAGTTAAGAGATGTTTACTCTTTGGAATGTGCCATTTTCAGATAGATAATACATAGATGAAAGTAAACATCAAAAGTATTTTTCAGATGCATGTAGATTTCTGTCGATGCTGGTCACTGAAATAACCTCTTCATGGACAAGCAATGGGCCATAACACTATGTAGTCGACGGCGATATCGCTGTAGAAGTCTGACCCCCTGATGGCTTCAATGATTATCTAAAATTAAAGAAATTGACAACTTTAAAAGCAAAACAACTTAGAAATTAACATTTTGACTGTTTATTGTAAGCCTGTTTAACAATATGTGAGTTGCCACGACAAAACCAGGATTGTTGAATTTTACGTCATAATCGAGAAAATACCGCAGAAAAACACATTTGAAAAACGCACGACGTTTTGACTAAACCATGTTGTTTACAAAAAAATTATTATCTATGCCTATAACTTCTGTCCAGAATATTGTTTTAAAAAAGACTTACTTTATTTCAAAAGAATTTTTCAGCAAATGTTGATATTTTTTTCGTAGATTTTAATACCGATTTGTCAGTTTCTCACTATATTTTGTTAGATTTATCAATCGTAGTGATAGAGAAAGTACGTAACCAGTATAAACAACATGCGGGAAATTTCTCAGACGACAGTCTATTGAGTCACTGATGTTGTAAAAAGTTTGTTTATAGCACGGTTAGTGAAGTGTCTGATGAAATCATTTTTTATCAAGATAAGTCTTTATCGATGAAATCACAACTTTAAACGATTTCTGTTTTAGAAATCAATCGGAGTTTGTTCCCTTGTCATCGTTCGAAGATGAGGAAGAGGAAAGATTTACAAACTTTACTGGTGATATTTCAGATTCAGACTCTGAATTAGAATACAGATCGCGATCAGTTGACTTAGATGAAGCAAATTGTGTTGCAGTATTCAAAACAAAAACATTCGGGTGCAGTAAATTGTATGGTGTTCCATGTAGTACGAAAGTAGAATTTAGTCACATGCTCGAAAACAGACAACAGTGTCAAGAAATATTAAATGAGGAACTTGATTTAACTGTTAAGGTTAAAATGGCAGAACACAGAAAATCTAGTACATACTGACCCCAGTGTATGAGTAATCATAGCACTGAAAGAGCTGAAAAGCGGTTAGCATGCTTTAATATGTAAAAAATGCATAAACTGATTATATTTATTCAATTGCATCCCAGACTGATGTCACAGATGTATGTTTCACAATTTAAACAAGAGATTCCTTCAGTTTGAAAAACAGGAAATGCAATAAATCTCTCTTGGTGGGTCTAAAAGTGAATATATTAATGTTGCAATTTATATTGTCTTTCATGCTTTATTGAATCTGAAATTAGGTAATTGTAAAGGCTTATATGGCGAACAGCTCAAAAAGTAAAAAACAACAAAAAAAAAAAGATAAGTCAAATTCTTTAGATTAAGGGATTTGGGGTAGTGTAGATCTTTAAATGGTTAGTATGAGAAAAAAGCAGGATGAGCAGAGGCCTTGTAAGTAAATGAATTTTATAGAGATTCAGTTGCGAAGGCTCACTGCGGGTGTGACCTGTCAACGGGGATGCTTACTTCTCCCAGGTACCGGATCCCACCTCCTGAACTTTTAGGAGTCAGTGTTTCTGTTTAGATTGATCACTGTTTATTTTGTTTTTTGATACAGATACTGAATACTTCCGTTTATTAATATTATGAATTACTACTCTCATAGGAAAACAGACAAGTAAACAAGATATTCACATTTTTTAAAGAAAAGTACATTATTGACTTTTCAAACAATTAAATGTTCGGATAAGTAAATGAAATAAGACAATAATGATAAAGTCTTGCATAATGTATATAATTATGGGGACATATACTGAGTATTTGGCATATACTCTTCATGGAATATTGATATATCAAATAAAACGCGTTAAAATGAGAGTTGTTGCCTAATCCATAAATACCAGTATTTTTAAAATTCAAAGGTACACTAAAAGTTAGTGTAACTGTACGATAAACATCTTATATGACCATCGCAAGAATTATCCAGTTATCATTGTCACTTTCTTAAGCAATTTACATTGATTTTTTTTTAACTATAATAACAAGTACGCGACTTTCTACCAATATGCCTGTGAATACCTGTATATTATTTTCATTTCTTTTCAAAGGCTCAACATAATTATTAACAAATTGGAGGAATTCAAATTTAAAATTATATTTACAACTTACATGTATATACCTTCCATAGGAATTTGACAAATTTTCTAAAGTGATAAATAAGTATAAATTATATATTTTAAATTTTTGCTAATTGCTTTTTTTCATACCTCTTTCTTCTGCGCATATTTTATGTAAGTTGATATTTAGAAGAGGATTCACCCCCCCCCCGCCAATTTTTAAAATTAATTTTACTATTTTTAGTGTCCCATCATTTTTTTTTCAAAGCTAAAATAAAGTGTTCGTTTATGATCGTTTGTAATAAATTATCAAAGACTGTGTACAGAATGTACCCCTGGGAGCAGAGCGTTTATAATATTTTAATTAGAGAGAGAAAAAAAAAGAAAAAACAAATGTTTCACCATCGAAATACAACTTACAGATTTATTAATATTCAGTGTTTTTATAAAAGCGTTTTTCATGTATTACTTAACTTAATAAAATGTATGTCTTAATATACTACGCAAAATTTGATAAGGATCATAGAAATTTTTCTCTATATTTAGATAATGAATAACTGCATAACTGGCAATATTGTGTCCAAGTGCAATAAAAAATGTCTTCAAGAAACTCGCACGTGCATTTCATGTCATGTCATCTCAATCTTTGATAAATTTAAAATGCAAAATGCTGACTATAAACTATCTAAATATCACATTTTTATCAGTAGTCTGCCTCTGTTTAATAAGATGATGCACTAGTATTATCATATGAAATATTTACATTCCAACATTAATAGTACGCGTTCAGAAGTAAATACGTACATGACATGTTGTGCAAAAGAGATAAATATGAGTTTTTAATAATATTCTCTGGAAAAAATAAATTTGGAATAATTCAAAATTTAATTTTGATCAATGTATTTCATTGTATAATTGTATTGATTTGTATTAATTGTGTAACAACTAATCGTATAACATTTAAAATTGAAGAAAACTCCAAATTTTTATTTATCCTTTTATATTTTTGCATATTTGTACAAAGAACGGTAACTCTTCTCACTGTGTTTTAACATTCAGAAAAATCAAAATTTCTTTAGTTTCATATATTTCAAGCATGATTCCAGCTCTTAAAATAAATAGAAGAATTTAAAAAATCATAGAAAAACATTCTGGAGCTATAATCATTATAAAAGCATTGTCTTTAAGTTTTTTCAAAGTGTTAAATCATTGGGTTTCAGTAACATTGATCGATGACTTCACAACTGCATCAAAGCAAAAATTAAGAGAATATGATTGTGACACAGCTTGAATCCAGATAACTGTGTTTGAGATGCTAATACTTCATAAATTATTGTGATTAATTAGTTAAAGGTGCAATGATCAGGTATACTGATTTTATAGCCGTGCGTTTTTCTTTACTGCAGACAAGAAGCTGCTTTCTTATGTAAGCCAGTATTTTCTCTGATATTCTTGACAACATCAAAGAATGCAAATATAAGTAATAAACAACGATTATTCATTGAACATGGCAATATGAATAGCAATAGCTCTGCTGCTTTCTATTCATATTGCTATGTTGTTTATTTCTTAACGAGGCCGAGTCTAATTTCAGGTGCGCAGAGCTTCATGAGCTTTGCGCAGCTTTTTATTTTCATGCAATTATAAGTGCGATAGCACACCTTTCCAAAATATTGTGATTTTAATATAAGATTAACATTATCTGTAACACATGCTGCTCCGAAAATGTGATTTTACGACAACTATTAGGAAAAAACGCCGAAATGGCCTTAATTGAAGACATCACTGTTTTCCTAATTTGTGAGCTATCCACGACGCTGAATAATGACACATGGCTCACTTATATGTTCGTAGACGTCCATTATATTAGAAACTGATGACAGAACATCAAAAGAAACAAACTAGCAATCTAAATATTGCTATTTTTTACCCCCAAAAAAATATCTGCGCTGATAATTCATCTGCACCAATATGTATTTATACCGCACTATGGCAATTTAAGGGGTAAATTCATCGCAAAAATAAACTTTGTAATTAAGACCTAGATCAACATAGATGGTAAACTTTTTTGAAATTTGAAAATTTTGTGACTTTTTACAATTTTATAATAAAATTCATATATTTGAATAAAAAGGAAATCGCTAGGGCAGAAATACAAAAAAATATGGGAAAATGTGATAATTTGGCGCCATTCTAACAATTTCCATTGGGGTCCTATAGTAAAATATAACAACTTTTGACATGGCCCCCTATGAAATGGTCGATTTTTTAATCTTAAAATAATAAAAAAAAAAGATCTTTATAACCAAATTGATACAGTGATACATGTTCACTGTATGTTGTAAGACCAACGCATAAATTAAATTAAATCCTCAAACTATTCAATTACCTTTAATTAATTATAATAAATCCGTTTATTTGTTTTAAAACTAAATTAGCATAGCATTGATGGGAAACGATATCAGTTTTATTCAGATAGGTGATTTTTATTTCAAATAATGCACAATTACAAGATATGAATGTTGTGAAGTAGAGTTTAACTGTACACGGTTAATTCATTTTGAAACCATGCTTTTGTTGTAATCAACGCAGTGTTAAATCATAGAGTAAAATTTCAGCTCATCGATAAAAATCAGCCATTTTCAACCAATCAAATAAATAAGAATACCATGAATTTAAAAAAAAGAACAAAAAAGAAAGGGGGAAATGGTATCTCCATTATATTAGAAGAGGATGGCAAAATAATGAGTTTTTCAATAGCTCAATGTAACAACCTGTCAAAAACCCCGTACTTTTATTTATGCTAATTGAGCTGTGTTTCTGCGCAAAATGTTATAAAACGACCAATTAATCACCTTATTCCGTCTACAATTCAATTTTCAAATTTTTTATTAGTTCAAAAGATGAAGATGTTAAATAATTATACTTTTCTGAGTTTCTTTACTCACTGTGACTATATTTTGTATCAGAAGCTACGAAAGCCATAAAGGGACATGGGGGTTTCCAAAAATGTATAAAAGTTAACCAAGTTCTCGAAGTATACAATCCGTTCTCTTGGATTAACAATCTCTTATAACGATTTGCCAATTCGTTCTCACAGATTATCAAATCGTTCCCTGAAATTACACAATCCGTTATTTCGGATTGTAAATTCACTCCCTCGCTTTAAACAATTCGTTCCGTCGGAATGTAAATTGTTAATTATTATTATTTATCTGTACATATGCGATATGGCAATGCGTGTTTAATTATTTAAAGTATGGAGTTGTTTATATCCTATTTTTATTTCATATCCATTCAAAAACGAAAACATTAGATAAACATTTTTTAAATCCACATTCTAGTACGGATATTTGTACAAAAAAAGTCTTAGATTTTTGTGTTAAATAAACATGAATATTAAAATCATTGCAATTCCTAGCAAAAGTAAACATGGGTCCTGTGTATTTGTTTTTTTATTTCAAAAATATATATGAATTGACTTAATTATAAAAAAGGTTTGGAATGACCGGTTGCTGAAACAAAATTCATAGAACATAAATTGATACAAAAGATTGGATTTGCTAAGCTTATACAAGTATTCGGATACATGTACATACTATGTAAATTAAATTCGAGAAAAAATTTTGCCAAAATCATTAGACTGATAATTATGTTGATCATTTGGATAGGATTGTGTAATTCGAGATCTCAAATTACAATTCGAGATCTCGAATAAATAATCGATTTGTGTAATCTGAGATCTCGAATCATGAATCGAGCGAACGAATTGATAATCTGTGGGAAGGGATCCTGTAATTCGAGATCACAAATTAATTTAACTTTTTTGAAAAATCGACATGTCCCTTCATGGCTTTCGTATTCATGGTTTCATGGCTTTCGTGGGAAGCATCTGGTGTGACGCTGTTTGGCTTTTGTTTATTTTCCTGTCAATTAACGTGCCCACAACAAACGGAATGATCGAATTCTATCACCAATCAGTAGTAGACAAGAATTTGTACTTATACTTCTTGTGATGTAGTCTGTAAATCTAATATCGATCGAAAAACATTTTCTTTATGTAACTAATTTGTAAAGGAAGGCGGATTTCAACGGACTTTGGAGGTGGAATACTGGTCATTATCTCAATATTCCAGGTATTTTTTTCTAAAGCACTTAAAAGTACTGCCACAAAATATCATGATAGAACAATACTCTTGAGTTTTTATTATGTTATACGTGTATTTATATTTAAAAACTCTGCTCGCTCGAACGGTCGCTCAGTCAACAGTTTACTATTAGTAACAAGTACACCAATGCAACAGGAAATTTAAGGTCAATTAATTCTGATTAATTCCCGATTGCAATCAATGCTTAGGGCTACCGAGTACTTTCAGTCCTTTTATATATTTTCACAAATTAATATAATGCAGTATTCTTTATAAATTAAATTTGGAATGCTGGTCAAAATTACATGTATGTGAACAAGCATTGAGCATGTTGAAAATATCAAAATCGTCCATCTATGTTACAAGAATAAGTTAATTTACCTCAGTGTTGTCGTTAATAGGGAGGTTGAGTTCAAGGCTGTACCATTGGTCGCCCTGGTTACCTGACTTTTTCCAGTGAGTGACTGTCGTGTCATTTCCGGTCCGGGTCTGAATCTTAAGAGTTCCGGTCGTTTGTCCATACATGTGGTAGTACATGGAAAGACAGTATGTCTCATCTGAAAATTAAACTCGCGAATTTAGATTTCACCTCTCCAGACTTTTGACATTTTAAAATCCTTCTCTTTATTGATAAATATGATAATCTGAAAAAAATAATAAAGCCATTCTATAATAGCACGCGCAGCAAGCACCAATGACAACCTGCACGAACGGAGGAAATTCAAGTTATATTCTGCGTATTGTTGAAACAATTTTTATTAGTCCGTGTAAAAAGGAAATCATGATACCCAATGATATTTTTCGAAGCCCGTTATGCATAAATTACACTGTAAGAAATGTGTTTAGAATTCAAACACTTTTCTAAAAACACTTTTTCTCACCTTCTTTTTTATATGTTTAATTCCTAAACATGTTTAATTTCTAAACATGTATGAGAAGGTGTTTTGAATGGAAACGCATGTGTTATGATTCTAAACACTTTCTCATAATGTTTAGAAATTTTCATGTTTTGGAATTAAACATATAAAAAGAAGGTGACAAAAAAGTGCTTATAAAATTGTTTGAATTTTAAACACACATCTTAATTATGTGCTTAGAAATTAAACATATCTAGATTTAACATATTAAAACAAGTGTGTAGAAAAACTATAAACACTTGATAATTTTGGCAGAAAGAGCATATTACTTAATACACATAATATTATTGTCAAAATTTTCAAAATATCAACCGACATAAATCATTCATCATAAGGTCTCTGATTATTTAGATATGTAGATACTTTACAATTGGTGATGTTCTATAATCTCTATAAGTTCAATCAGCATGACATACATTTTATAACGCAGGGATGAGCAAAAAAATAATATAAGCTGTAGCAGTTTTATATCAAAACATCCCTTAATTATTACAATAATGCTTTATTAAATTAAAGTTATTTCAATTAAAATTATAAAATATTTATTATGCGCCCGGATCGAAGATCCGAGGCGTATATTGTTTTTGTCCTGTCTGTCTGTCTGTCTGTTTGTCTGTTTGTCTGCAAACTTTAACCTTCGCTATAACTTTTGATCAATGAATGGTTGAGACTTCATATTTGGTATGCATACTCCACTAATTAAGTTCTTTCAAATGACACCAAGGACAGTGACCTTGTGACCTTGACTGTGACCTATATGCTAAAAATAGTTTTTTCTGCAAACTTTAACCTTCGCTATAACTTTTGAATGATAAAAGATAGAGACATCTTATTTGGAATGAATACTCCACTAATTAAGTTCTTTCAAATGACACCAAGGTGAATGACCTTGTGACCTTGACTGTGTCCTATACGCTAAAAATAGCTTTTTTGAACATTCACCATAACTTTTGAACAATGAAAGATAAAGACTTCATATTTAGAATGCATAGTTCACTAATTAAGTTCTTTCAAACGACACCAAGATTAATGACCTTTTGACCTTGACTGTGACCTATATGCTAAAAATATGTTTTTTAACTTTGTTGCGCCGGGCGCATAGTGTTTCACAAACACATCTTGTTTTATATAATATTTTGTATATGATTTATTACAGTTTTAACAGGTCGAGACCACTAGATTTTCTGACGTCAGAATAAATTTGCATGTAAATTAGCTATATGTTTACTTTACCCACTGATGAATGAGTCGCAATGCATTGTGGGCTACTACAAGTACTCAGCTGTGTTGAAATTAAAGGGTAACTTGAATTGTTCCTTGGAAACTTATTTTCAATTCTTTTTTGAGATTTGTGGAAGAAATATTTAAAATAATGTATAATCTTTCATTTCTATGCTCACATTTACAAAATTTGTTTTTATGAAGCCTTATATCAACTTATAAAACATCGGCCTTAACCATTGTTCAAAGAGACGTAGACCTGTGCTACATGTATCGTGTCGATAAAACATTGAGTTTGTTTTCACGTGATATACGTGTACATAGTTTTTGCAGGTGGTATATAGGTCCTTGATTTTAGACAGCAGGAGAAGGTGTTTAATTATTTTTTAACCCCTCAATATTATTTTATGTACATGCAGACGTCAAAGCGTCTGTATGGTATTCGAAGCAACTATTAATCATCTAAAACAACTCCAATATTAAATGTGAGCATGGAGCAATGTCTTTACATTATAATCTTTCAATTTTGGTCTTATAAAGTGAAAAAGAAGCTCTACAGATTTTCCGGTGACGAGTTAAATAATGTGTAGTAAACCGACGAAAACCACGTGTCGCCATTGAATCGTAAACACGTAGTAGAGTGTCATGCTTTGGGAATCATTCACTTGATTGGAGAACGGGTGTGACGAAGACATCGTCACGTGTTGAAAATTGCCTTCCATATAAGGTAGTGATCTCGACCTGTTTAATCGGTTGCAGAGTGTTTCATATGTCAGTCATCAAAATGTCAAACTTGATTAACTTTCAGCAGTCCTAAAGCAGTACATACATGCAGCACCACATGATAAAGTATCCCATCAGTAACTGCCGAAATGTAATCCATATCAAATGCACAAGGATAATCACAAAATGATTTAGGTACATGTATTCAAATCCGCCGAACATTGTCGAATTAGGGGTAACCCAATACATTTAATAAAAATACGTTTCTTAGTGTTGATCATGGAAGAACAATTTGCACTTGAAGATGACGCCATGCAGGTACTTTGATACATGCATGCTTTGGGTTCGATCTGGACTATTCACATAACCTGTTGAAAAGAAAGTCAGATTTAAGTGAAAGTACCGTATGCTGCCCTATGAAGATGACATCAATTTTCAAGTTGCATTGAAACTATACTTAGATTAGAATAGTTATTTTTAATGAAATTCAATATAAACTCATCTTCTAAAAGTCTATAAACGACCTCAAGGCACTGTTTACATTGCTCATCGTGGTTTGATAATGCAAATCTTAATAAAAAGAAAACATACCTTGCATTATATTGCAGTAAAAAGATGCCTTTCAAAATTAATTATTTTCAATATTTCTTCATGGTTATCCGTTGGGTTGTCAGTATCTCTTCTTGAAACGTCCCTTAAGCCTTTTGTGATTTACTTTGAACATCTCAATGGCCGCTCAAATTTCAAATATACGAATATTTGTGTCATTTCCGGGAAGATAACTCTAGAGTTTTATTTCTAAACACGTTTAGATATAAAAGAAAAATGTTACAACATAAGTGTTTAGTTGTTAAACATATTTCTATACATGTTTAGATCTAAACACGTCATGGAAGTGTTGAAATCTTAAACACAATTTTTACAGCGTATCTCATGTTCCCACTATCGTTGATGTCCCTGCCATGCTACACTAACTAGAAAGTAGTTATTTATATTTCCATTTCATTGTGAAATGAATTTGTAGATTTAGACTTTAAAAATGTAGATATGGATATAAATTACACGAGGATTCCCATGCGAATTTCAACAGACCTCGCCCACAGCTGACGTGAAACACAAAGGCAGCCGCACGATATTTACATGCATATTTGGCCTCCTGAGCCTCAGACACAGAGACAGATGCGCACGAGATTTGCAGACATACTAGGCATCCTTAGCTCCTGACCTATTGACGTGGCTTATTTACATTCCGGTAGAATTATCAAGAAATCAATTCCGCTAACTTTCAAAGAGTTATCACAAAGAAAAAAAAATAGAAATGGAAATATATTGTTTACAGTGGGTGTGAGCAGTTAACAATAGACTCTTACTTTTCTTAGTCACCTTATTTAACCTCTGTTTTAGAGCTCGAGGTTCGTGTTTATGCATGTCCTGATCACAGAGTTTTATTGTTTGTTGATTTTTTTTTTAGATCGATCCCTGTTTGTTCTCTTGACCTTTCTTCATTGAACATACAAATATACATGGTTGCTACGGCAATGCCCGGCCATGTTGTGTTTATTTAGACATGTTAGGTACATATTATAATTATTTGAAGTGCTCGTGAATTATTGGATACGTGTCTAGGTCTGAATTACCTTTGAAAACTCTATTGCTGACCAATTTAGCGTTGTCCCCGGTGACTTGGGGTTGTGATGCTTCTATGTACTTGTAGTAGGTACCGACTTTGGCGCCATTAGGACCAGTAATAGTAGAATGAGTCTTTCCCTGTGAATTGGAAGGACATATCCGCTATATATATGTACAATGTGTATCGAAATTTTGAGTAATACATGTATATTCAAACCTCGATATGTCAATCCCAAATGGTTCAAGATATTTATGCTAGAATGCATAAAGAAAAGGTGACTGGGACTTCCAACTCACTTCGACATGGTCAATATTGCTATTCGTTCAAATGCAATTGCAATCTTTGCTACGACATTATTATTAATTTAATGCCACATTACAATAACAAAGAAAATGCCTGGCATCATAGTCTAGCGTTGCGTTTTCATCGCAACAACATTTTAACAAATGAATTGAGAGAACAGCATAGCATTGCCCATTAATTTTAAATGAATCAAAAGATACAGAAAAGTTCTTAAATAAGTATTTGGGTCCTGAACAACTTATCAAGCAGTGCAACTGTGCTACTTCTATGTGACACATACAGAAGAGATTTTCCGGAAGGGGGTGGAACGAAATCGTTTTCTTTTTTTTTCTTTTCTTTTAGATTTTATGCGTAAAAAAACTGATATTTTAACTTTTCTTCATTATTAATTACTAAGTCTAATTATACATTTTTTTCTTCACAAAATATGGACCAAAAAAAAATTTGTTTTTGTTTCATAATTATGTTTGCATGAGCACGGGGTACAGAACTACGACGTGTGATCAAATATATATATTTATTTCAGAAATGAAAAGCAAAAATAAATCAGGTAATAATAAAACAATAATTTTTTATTAATATTGACTCCAACGTTCGTCTTAGAAGTTCAAGGAATTTGCATAATTTAGACAGCTTCCCGAGCTGTAAAAATGCAGTACCTGTATAAGCACAAAAAGACGAAAAAAGATGTCGCCTGATGTTACAGCGCGCCAAGAGAAATTAGAAACTGATTTATGGCTACTTGCAACTATAATAACTATAATAATTGTACGTCCAAAGCACAATGTCAGAAAATGTTTGAAAGATTGCCTATTTACGCAGTTTTACTTGTATATTCTGAGAGTTCCTTGATGACACACTAAAAAACTTTTTCCGAAATTTATAAGCATGACATATTAAATAATATGAAACTTTTGGCATATTTTGCATACCTGTACATATACATGTACAGTATATATGAAATTTGCTTGAATATTATATGAGGCGTAATGTGGAATTAAAAAAAAACCCAGAAAAATCAGATTGCAGCAATGACTATTTCCACCCTAAACAACTTTACCTGACAATCATTTTCATAATATCACGTTTTTGTAATATCATAAAAACATTGGTATTGGGAAGATACTGGTAGAGGAAGTCCTTCGATATATTTTTGCATTTAAACATTTTTAGTAGTAGGGGTTATTGTTTACCGAATGTCTTTTCCAGTTGAATCTATCATTTTTTGCTTCTTCCAAGAAACACGATGCTTCTGTGATTGTCTCAAAGTCGCACACATCTAGAAATAGATAAGTATTATTTAGAGAACGAGACCGGTTCTGTATCGTAGATACAAATTTGGGGGTGGGCATTTGCGTAGCACGAGTCTCCAACCACAAATATATATCTACGCTACAGAACCTGTCAAGTTCTCTAAATGATTTGTGACACGATCAATCAAAAATAGCTCCTCCCACTTTATGACTGTGCAGCATCCAAACTTCTGCCTGAGGTCTGTAGATGAGGCCCCGACGGGGAGTACGCATCCGCAGTATATATATTTCCACGGAAAACGTAAGACTCAGATTAGGTTTGATAATTTAAACAGGTAGACGTAATCGAGTGATAGTCACAGTCTGGTCCGATTTATAGTAAAAAATACTTCTAGCGGCAAATAATTATTATTTGGTCCAGCATAGTTTCTTAACCTATTTCGAGTATTCGAAAAATATGCTGGCCTTCATGAAAATGGCGTTAAGTAGGTCTAAATGGCGATTCAAAATGGCTAGCATTCAATTTTCACTTAATGTCGTTCAAGTAGGAGTAAGAATTTGTGAATATCTCACTGAGTGCAATGCAACGATAAAAATGATAAAAGAATGCTAACATTATTACTTTAATTCAGAAAATTTAGTCATTTCTACACTTAATTCGAATTTTCTCTGATTTATTTGTCTATTGTTTCTTTATTCTGCTTTGTTCAGAATTTTTCATATGCAAACATCCATATACTGCAGAATTGGAATTTTTCCTCCGCATCTCACTATTCTACAACTGAACGATTGTGCAGATTTAACTAATAAGTCAAAATGGCGATTCAAAATTGTGTAAATCATTTTTTTCAAATCATTTCTTAATGTCGTTTAAATAGGAGTAAGGATGTGTTAATCTTACTGAGCGTAATGCAACTAAGAAAATGATAAAAGAACACTAATATTATCACTTTAATTTAGAAAATTTAGTTCTTTTAATTTTGAAAGTTCTGTTAATTAGCTCAAAATGGCGAACACTCAATTTTTATAAAATAAAGAATTGTTCAGAATTTCACTTTTGCAGATATCCATACACTGCAGAATGGTGTTTTTCCTCCCCATCTCACTATTCAACAACTTAATTTGAATTTTGGAAAATTTTCTGCAATGGCCAATTCATACTTATGCAGCAGACAACCAAGAACATCCATTCCATCTCAATGAACTTAGTTATGTAAAACTAGCACTGTATCCGCCTATCTTTATATCACATAGTGCCTGGCATTGTGCTCGCTTTACATGCAAATAAAAAGAATGCGAAATGTAATTTCAAATAACTTTCTATGCATGTTAGTGGATACTGTGTATTTTATTATGCAACTTAAAGACATTTTTTTTATCAGCTTATATTGCTTCTCCTCAACAATCTATTGATATGAACTACAATGAGTGAAGTGTATTAAATGATTTTTCTGAAGCTCTGGAAAAGATAGATTAATTGCCAAAACAATTTAAAAGGAATAATTGCAAAACTAGAAAGGTTCCACTTGCATTCTACTGTGAATGAGCTATAACATACCGATATACGATATGCTAGTATAAGAATATCTAGATCTGCAAGAGGGTACTCATAAAAGTACTAGAGCTTGAAGAACAAATGACTACTTCTTCACGTAGCACAGAACAATTAAACCAATATCATTTTAGCATTTCATTCAATTTTCAACCATCCACACATCCCTTCCCCCCCCACTCTCTCCCGCAAACACAGCGAGCAGTAACAATGTTTTTCATAATGGGTGATGGGGGAGACTATATAACATGTATATGTTTTTTCCAAGGTAAAAAGTTTCATTTTTTTCTGGTAATAGTTAAAACAAACTCGACTTAAGAGTTTCCAAATGTTTTCTCAAATTGGACCGTATTTCAAAGCTATTGTCCACCATAATTTTTTTTATTCCAGATTTAAATGACTTATGTTTCAGTTTTCAGAATTTTAGTCTTTTCAACATCTCAAGGAACAACACGTTTATGTTCAAATATTAATACTAAAGACTATTTTGTTTTCCAAAACCTTATGCAAAATGGGGAAAAAATATATCTTTGATAAGACATGTAGCTTTCGCTTGTGTGACCTAATGGATTTGTTGTCTTTTCGGGTAGAAAGGTCAATAGAAACATTAGCAAGCAAATTCCCAAAACTTATCATCTGGAATCACATTTTTGGTGAGGATAATTGTATAATTGTGCGATCTAAGATCACCTGCAGATTCCTTGTGATTCGTATCAAGCACAATTATGACAAAAAAGTTTGTATGGATTATCAGTTTTGATTTTGAACATAAGCAATTTTCCTTAAAAAAAAGGAACTTTGTAGTCGCTTAACTTTATATCTAACAAAAGAAGAGTATCCGTTTAGAACAATAAATAATTGTGAATAAAATTGATTTTTGCTGGATATGAATATCAAAATGCAAATGCAGGGACGCAGATTCAGAGTTGGACAATCAAGAATATTCATGTTTTTCGTATATTATACTGGTTTTGATCATTCTTGATAAATATGCTGATATAAAATACGGTATATTACATTCAATTTTATATGATTTAATGATTCCTTGCTCTCTAATTGGCTATGGTCCATCATTTTAAAAATCATATGCTAAGTTATGTTGCACTAGACTTCCCACATGAACATGAACATATATATTTTTTTATACTCTGAGATGATTTTAATTAGCAACCCTCGAACTACTGTACAATGTTCACTCGCCTTTGGGCTCGGGGAATACTGCTCTTGGGGTAGCTTAATTGTCATATTGTCCTCTAAACAGCAATTATTGTGTCATATTGACTTTTTATATGAAGAGGCATGGGTAGACAGGTAAGAGGTAAAAGTTGGTAGATGTTGCTAAAAGCTTATCGCAATAATGGAAGTAATGAAACAAAGATTCGTTTCATAAAAATTATAAGTCGTTAACAACAATATCCTCAATAATTCATTGAATATTTAATGATTTTATTGATTTAAAATGCAAACTGTAATTAATTTTCTTTTTATTTTATACAGAGGTAAGAGGTAAAAGTTCGTAGATGTTGCTAAAAGCTTATCGCAATAATGGAAGTAATGAAACAAAGATTCGTTTCATAAAAATTATAAGTCGTTAACAACAATATCCTCAATAATTCATTGAATATTTAATGATTTTATTGATTTAAAATGCAAACTGTAATTAATTTTCTTTTTATTTTATACAGAGGTAAGAGGTAAAAGTTCGTAGATGTTGCTAAAAGCTTATCGCAATAATGGAAGTAATGAAACAAAGATTCGTTTCATAAAAATTATAAGTCGTTAACAACAATATCCTCAATAATTCATTGAATATTTAATGATTTTATTGATTTAAAATGCAAACTGTAATTAATTTTCTTTTTATTTTATACAGAAGCGACCCAGAAGTTTGAGTATTTTATAAAATTTGAGCGTTCGCCATTTTGATGGCCATTTTTAACTAATTAACACAACTTTCAAAATTAAAAGACTAAATTTTCCAAATTAAAGTGATAATATTAAAGTTCAATTATCAGTTTCATAGCTGTATTTCGCTCAGTAAGATTAACACATCCTTTCTCCTATTTGAACTACATTAATAAATAATTTTAAAAAAATGGATATCCATCATTTTGAATCGCCATTTTGACTGATAACTTACAGCTGTACAATCGTTCAGTTGTAGAATAGTGAGATGCGGAGGGAAAAATGCCAATCTGCAGTGTATGGATATTTGCAAATGTAAAATTCTGAACAAAGCAGATTACAGAAATATAGACAAATAAATCAGAGAAAATTCGAATTAAGTGTAGAAATGAC